GAGGTTCTATCCAAGATATAAGAAGTAAGAATAGCCTGTGTACAAATCGCTCTTAATATCCTATGAGACTGAAAGATTTCGAGAGAATATCTTAAAACTTCACACACCTCGTTTGCTCCGAGGACGAGCGCATCGCATGAGTGGGTTGTTAGATGCCAAAGGCTTTATCCTCACCTTTCCCGCCTGATACCGTTTCGTAATTATGACTGATACCAAAAATGAGTTTCGCTGTTTTATTTGAATTATGTGTACTATCCCACAATAAAAAGTGGATATTTTTTAGGAGGAGGACGATGACAACATACCTGCAGCTGGATACAGTGGACATATGCCAGGTACTACATATAAGAAATAGATCTTTGAAGCCACTATGATAGACCACGATAATGCTATGGCTTAATATGGTAACGTTAAGGTCTGCGACAACTTGGAATCGGGAAATCCTTCAATGCGGCTGCTAGAGAGGCAAAACGAGATTATAGCCTTCGACGACGAGCTAATAGTGGAGGCAGAGGTAGGTTTGCTGTTGCCGGCTCTGTTAGACGGAACAGTCAGTATGTTTAAAGAAAGTTTCCATGACAAGGTCGAAGGTCGAAGAAACTCACTCCAAGGAAAGACACATGGCCTTCGCCTTCGGTGCGGAACGATCCGCAATTCGCAGCGATGGGTATGCCGCTTCAACCTAGCGTGGCCATCCCCGCGCCGCTATCGACGCGACACACCCACCGACTGCTAATCCACTTGTCGTGGGTCTCTGGCTGTCAGGCAGAGATAGAGCGTCAGCGTTGAAGAAGGCAGCACCGATGAGAGTTGCATCAGTGCCGAAATCAATAGGCGATGTTCCATCGTTCGAATTCTGGGCCATTTCTTGGTATTCTCTCTATCCGGCACCGTTGACCTCCTATACCTCAATTCTAATAGGCTCTAAACGCGGACTCCGCCCTCAAAGGCAGCATCTGGCTCCGAGTAAAGTCGGTAGGATAGGAACCGGCTGCATGTTTTGCACTTTTGATTAGGTCGTTCGTATCAACACCCACACAAACGTGCCACATTATCTAGCGAATTTGGCGATGCTGATGCTGTGACCTAGCGAGACACTTCCAAAATGTGGCAGCTACAATAAAATCGAACTTCATAATTTGACTGTACGTGTTATATTATTCAAGTAGAAATTTTAACGAGCACAAAAACACCTTAACATAGATTCCCTAAGCGAGCAAAATGGTTGAGCGGAATGTGATGCATACTCTGGGCACGATTCGGTTGTCAGATCTCTTGGAATTTCACCCAAGCGATCATGTGGCCACTAAAAAACTTGTGTGGGAGGCCAAAGGCTGAACTATACATAAACCGGTTCCGTGTTTCAAGTAAAGTCAATCCAAATCGTGTAAATGCCACTACAATTCTGAATCTAGGTAGTATGCGTGGCGCATCCTAAGACAAAGTTGATCGATATCAGAGGCTCATCCTTTATTCATTCTACTCTTTTACGACCAATACCGTTTTATTTGATATTGCATTCCATTAATTATTCGCGATTTTCAGCGGAGACCTCCGGCACATCAGTTTCTCGCAATTCTGATGCACAGAATGATTCATACAATGATGGCTCACGCTCTAGAAAGCAGACCGAATACACATACCATCGAATGAATGAATAGTGGTGATAGACGTGTTACTGCTCATGAGAAAGCAGTATTTACAATGCATTTTAAAACAATTATTCTCGAAAGAAGTTAGGAGGCATCATTCGCAGCATTCATTAAATTGTTTAGGCAAAAAGTTGCCAGAGCATAAGTAGTGAGATCAACTGAACCACCAGCAAAAACTGTGGAAAATAATCTAGGCACAACTCGGTAAACGACCAGAAACGGCTGCAGAGTCTTTTATTTTGCAACCTGATCTTCCCACATCTTCCTACTTCCGTACCACGGCCCTCAGTTCGCGTTTCGACTTCTAGTGTTCTGAAAGCGATCCAAAACCACGAATTTCTCCTGGCACTGATTACACGCTAACCAGGAAGGTCTTTCAGGGTGTGCCAAGCTTTTTGAAAACGGTCTTTTGCATGATATAGGGGCACATGCGGGAACCACCATGGTTAATTTTTCCTGAACGGCCCTCTGAATACCAGAAAAGGGGGTCCCTAGTCACACCTTTTTCACCAGTTTTTCAATCAAAGTCTATTTGTAAGGGTTACTGACGGTCCTAATCATGAATTGGTACTAATTATTCATGCTAACTCCATTTTGCGCGAATTTTGGAAACGTCAACTCGAAATGCAAAAATTTGTCACCACGAGGAATCGAACTAGGGACCCCCTTTTCTGGTATTCAGAGGGCCGTTCAGGAAAAATGAACCATGGTTCTGTGGTTCCCGCATGTGCCCCTATATCATGCAAAAGACCGTTTTCAAAAAGCTTGGCACGCCCTGAAAGACCTTCCTGGTAAGATTTGTGTGTTCCGTGCACCTGACACTTCCCGTTTTCTAATTAGACTACTGAATTGCGAATGATGTCGGTTATCCGATTCATTTGCAGTAAACTCCTTGGATCTCATTCGATCATACTGTTGAACTTGACTCATTTTCCTATCGTCTTGAACAGTCGATTTTCCGTACTGCTTTTAGATTTTATTTACAGTCGTGTATTTATGTAAATATTATTTGTACACTGCAATGTAGTTTGCTACTGACGAATAAATATCTTGTTTATGCATCTTTCTTCAGTCAGACAAACTATTTTGTCTGAGTCACAGACTAGGTGAGTCGCCTGAACATTTAGTCGAACGTCGGACCAGTTGTGTTGTGTGGTTTCGGAATATTAACGGGTGATGCCGTCCCTTTCCGGATAGAACGAAGTCGAGTGGACAATGAGTAACCGAACCGGAATCGCTCCATAGGTAGCGTTATCCGCACACACTCATCAAGAGGCAACGACAGACTCAAAATGCAAACACCTTACGGGTGGTCCCCGAATAGATGAGTCACTGAATGACCACCGGTTCCGTGCCAACAATGGCTACTTAGAGCGAATTAGGTGCTCAAAAAGATGCGATGCTTTGTGTTTATCTACATTAATTTGCATTTATTCATATCATTAACTCGAAGGTGCGCTATAACTACAGGCGTAGAAAGCTCATTACGCCTCAAAAATCAACAAAATTAAAGTGCGGGTAAAGTGAGGATAAAACCTCAACTAATATATATCAGTGAGTTGGTGAACAACATGGCGACTGAACCGAACTAGACCCTGAAGGCCGCCCTCCCACAGCAGCAGTCTCATGACCCTCCGGAGAGAGTCCGGCCTCCTTTCCGCGCTCTCGGTCTCAGCATCATCCACCGTCCCTCAAGTGCAAAACATTGCTGCAATCTCTCCTCTTCTTGCGACGTGCATCTGCGTAAATTTCTGATTGTCTGTCTGCATTGTTGCGGAGCTGTCCAGCGAGTTTGTTTATCGGCATCAAGAAGAAGCCAAGGAGTGCAGTCTGTGGCCAATGAGGGATCGGGCCGGCGATGGTGGTACTGCTGAAATATCCCATGATGAAGAGTGGCGTCGAGACGACGTCGTGTTGAAACGAGACGAGAACTTGCTGAGGGCTTGAGTGTCCAAGGTGAACGGGGATGACAGCGCAGCGGTCAGCCAAAACAATAGCGCACTCGTCAAGACAACAAGAAAACAACACTGAGTATGCTAATCGTGCCGAAAAGCTATCCAACACATACAACAAACAAGCCAGTCCATTTAGGCCTGCCTGCTATCATATACACTCGCGAACTGGAACTTGATTACTACTGAGAAAATAATCAAAGTAAAAGATGATTGGGATTACAGTACAACTAAGGACACAATAGATCATCCCCTGAACCTAAAACTCTATTTCTGCCTGATTCAATATGCAAAGAATTGCTTCCAGCCAAAAAAGCTTAGGTGTTCTGGAGCTCGATGAATTTTCACTCTGAGTTAATCACTTGGATGCGCCACACACTTGACTCACGGTAGGACCTGTGAAGGCATTTTCATGTTTCTCACAAGGGAGGTCTTTCAGGGTGTGCCAACCAGGGTTTTTTTCTTTCAGGGTTTTTCAAAGGTCTTTTGCATGTTATAGAGGCACATGCGGAAACCACAGAACCATGGTTAATTTTTTCTTGAACGGCCCTCTGAATAGACCAGAAAAAGGGGGTCCCTAAGTCACACCATTTTCACCAGTTTTTCCAGTAAAAGTCTATTTGTAAGGGTTTGGGGGACGTTCCTAGTCATGAATCTGGTGCTAAGTATTCATACTAACCCCTTTTGGAAACGTCAACACAAAATGCAAAAATTTGTCACCACGAGGAATCGAACTAGGGACCCCTTTTCTGGTATTCAGAGGCCGTTCAGGAAAAATGAACCATGCTTCTGTGGTCCCCATATGTGCCCCAATGTCATGCAAGAAACCATTTTGAAAAAGCTTGGCACACCCTGAACGACCTCCTTGTTAGAATTAGCTTGACAGTCGGTGGATTCCACGGGT